ACATTACAGGGTGGCTTCACTTCTTCAATCCAGATGCAGGTAGAATTCCCCAGGTTAACAGCTGAGGTGTCAACCAATCCAGCAGCTGCAGTGGAACCATAACAGAGAGAGAGCTAAAACCTCCATAGGAAGAAAGTGAGCTTCTCTCAGAGAGAAGTCAACAATCAACTAAGGATACTAATAAGCTGCTGAACAGCCAAGAAGGGAGAACCGTTCCCCATTGAAGAGGTCCCATGAGGTCTTCTGGACATACTATTAGCAGAGAATACCAGCAGCATTGGGCTAAAGTTCTCTACCCACCGGCAATCCAGGTGGGCAAAAGGCCCTCTCAGTGCAGGCGCTATAGATTTGGCAGAGTCACGTTCCAAGGCAACTTTTTTCAGAAGGACCTCTGAGTGGGGCTAGCATGCTTAGCATTGTCCAGCATAGAAGTAAGGCAAACTTCCCTGTCATAGAGGCAACCAACTCCTTCCTGGTGTTCAAGGCACTGCAACACCTAGATGATGTCCAATGGAACCCAAAGCTTAGTCAAGGTGGGGGTCCTCAACGTGAACATAATAGTCCTAGGTATATGGTTACTTCAAATTAAATGCACCAGGAATGGAAGCATGAGACTATCACAGTCACCTGAAGGCCCTGAAGGATGATGGCAGGGACTAACTGCTCCACAGAGATTAAGACCAGAGCCCCGCTCAGACCCCAAACCCATGACCACAGGGAAAGGAGCTTAAGGAAGCTAGGAAAGAACCAGCATGGGGAAGGAAAAAGGATGAACGCTGACTGACAATGCAGCAAAAGGTAGGCTGTTTTAGGGGCGGCTTAAACTGTCACTAAAAGCAGCATTTTTTTTAGTTTTGGATAGAGTAAAGAGGGATTAGACTGCTTATTCGCTTTTATTGCAGTCTGTGCCCCCATTAGGGAGATTCACTGCCTCTAGTTGTCCTGTTTACCATGATCATCGAAAGTAAAATAAATTCCCACATTTTGGGTTGACAGAGCAGTAATAGAGGGGACATCTTCCAATGGGGACACTAGTTCTGGTGACACCCTGGAATTCCCTCTCAATGTTTTGGCTACAGGAAATGAAGGGGAATCCCCGCAATGGGATACAGATTACAGGGATTACCCTTCCTTGCGCTATCCAAAAAAAAAAAAAGTTTTACCTTAGGTGACGATTTAAATAAGACCAACGCACTTACTGGTGATAGGTGACTGCCAATGCTGAGGCCTAAAGATACCCGACTCTGCTACATCATCCAGGAGTCAGTTACCTCAGAAATGTGCTAATTATAAGGATCAATAAAGCTTTACAGAAGGATGCCAGGAGAGGTTACCAAGCTGAACAAATCATCTATAAGGCCTGTTCATGGCTTAGAGACAGCAAGCCTTCAAGAAGGGAGAAGGGACACCAACGGAGCAAAGCTCTATAACCTGAATGGCATAAGGGCATAAGAATAGCAGAGAACTCAGATAGAATACTGAAGGTTCAGAAACACATGCAAAGTGATAAGGAGCAACTGAAGGGGGCACCAGAAGTACAGAGGGACCTTCCAGGATGCACAAACAGCCAATACCTGAAGACGTGGGGTGTAACTAATAGACCTAAGATCATTTCCATCCTCCACTGTATGTGACCCTTTACCTCCTCACTCTGAGTATGACTAGTACATTATAATGATATGTTCTATCTAGTGCACCATTACCAAGCGCCATGTTTTAACCGTTTCAGCTCCGGAAAGTTTTACCACCTTCGTGACCAGGGCATTTTTTTGCTATTCGGCACTGTGCTGCTCTAACCGATAATTGGTCAGTCATCCAACGCTGTACACAAATTACATTTACATGATTTTTTTCACACAAACAGAGCTTTCTTTTGGTGGTATATGATCACCACTAGGTTATTTTTTATTTTATAAACGAAAAAAGGAAGCCATGTGACCAATGGCGCAATGCGTCAAAAGGAGCCGGTGAGTGCGATGCGGAGTTTGCTACTGGTTATCTTGATACACTGCGCAATAATTTTAAACCCATGTGAGTGCAACTTTAACCTAAATAAATGGTTTTAACGCTCTGTATGTTTTGTGCTATAAGTATGTCCCTATCATATGTTTGAGTGATGCTGGGAGAGGAGGCAGCAGGAGCTGGCCTCTTAAAGGGACCTTATGTAAGAAGTGGCCACTAATAGCTGGATGGTGGATCCGCAAGGATTTCATATCTAAAAAGGCATTTGACCTATTTTTATAGGCCAATATTTAAGGTGAGCGAGCACTGCATCTAATGGCTGAATGGTGGCATATTACACCTAACAATGGGCGTACCCTTGATGACGTGCGTATGCACGAAAAGCATTGGGTGGAGCCTACATGCTGACGTCACGCCGCCGGGTCCGTGCTTCGGAACGGTGGCCATCTTGGTATGTGGCACACTTAATGTTTTGCTGTTTTCCATGTGGAATGCATTTATGCATACTTTTAAATTAATACTACACTATATACACCGTTTTCTAGGCTCCATGTGGTGAGCATTCCCTTTCAGGATGTAATGGACCAACAGATGTTGGAGAGCGGATAATACAGATCTCTTGTTATATTTGCTACCTAACAAGTAGCCTTCTGGTGAGTGCATAGTGGTGGTGGATTGCACATTGGACTCCAGAGCACTGTGTGGAATCTAACACGATTTGCTGTGTTTATTAGTGTCACATCACTGATATACAGATTCATACTGGTTGTACTGAAATATATGTATATTTAATTTATACTTTTTTTTTTTTTTTACACATTTTATTTCGTATGTTTTTTTATGCGCTGCACCTCACATATACAGTGAGGAACAGAAGTATTTGAACACTCTGCGATTTTGCAAGTTCTCCCACTTAGAAAGCATATTCCCACTCTGAGAGACAGAATTAAAAAAAAAAATTCAGGAAATCACATTGTATGATTTTTAAAGAATTTATTTGGTCTTGCACATCTGAACATTGGTATTTGAACACCTGAGAAAATCAGTGTTAATATTTGGTACAGAAGTCTTTGTTTGCAATTACAGAGGTCAAACGTTTCCTGTAGTTCGTGACCAGGTTTGCACACACTGCAACAAGGATTTTGGCCCACTCCTCCACACAGATCTCCTCTAGATCTGTCAGGTTTCGGGGCTATCGCTGAGCAACAGAGTTTCAGCTCCCTCCAAAGATGTTCTATTGGATTTAGGTCTGGAGACTGGCTAGGCCACTCCAGAACCTTGATACGCTTCTTACGGAGCCACTCCTTGGTTATCCTGGCTGTGTGCTTTGGGTCGTTGTCATGTTGGAAGACCCAGCCACGACCCATCTTCAATGCTCTGACTGAGGGAAGGAGGTTGTTGCTCAAAATCTCACAATAAATGGCCCCATTCATCCTCTCCTTAATACAGTGCAGTCGTCCTGTCCCGTTCGCAGAAAAGCACCCCCAAAGCATGATGTTACCACCCCCATGACAGACTGACAGTCGTCTTTAGCCTCTTCCATTTTCTAACAATTGCTCCAACAGTTGATCTATTTTCACCAAGCTGCTTGGCAATTGCCCCGTAGCCCTTTCCAGCCTTGTGGAGGTCCACAATTTTGTCTCTGGCGTCTTTTGACAGCTCTTTAGTCTTGCCCATGGTAGTAGTTGGCGTCTGACTGACTGTGGGGTGGACAGGTGTCTTTAAAGAGCTCAGACAGGCGCTACTAAGTTAGATTAATGAGTGGAGTAGAGGTGAACTTTTTAAAGGCACAGTAACAGGTCTTTGAGAGCCAGAATTCTTGCTGTTTCTTAGGTGTTCAAATACTTATGTTCAGCAGTGCAAGACAAATAAATTCTTTAAAAATCATACAATGTGATTTCCTGAATTTGTTTTTTAAATTCTGTCTCTCAGAGTGGGAATGCACCTACAATGTGAATTTCAGACCCCCTCCATGATTTCTAAGTGGGAGAACTTGCAAAATCGCAGGGTGTTCAAATACTTCTGTTCCTCGCTGTATGTTTGTTCATTGAGATCTGTTGTTACTATCTTTGGTGCTAGCTGCTCCTACTTGCTCACCATTTGCATTTTTGATATTGGATCTAACACCAAAGTCTATCACTGTTCGGAGTGATCGCTGTGGAAACCTTATGCACTGAAAATCACAAGTGGACATTTTTTCTGATAATGTTGTGTGATCTTGTTCAGAGGTATTTGGTGGACAAGAACATATAACACTTGATCTATTTGATTGGTTTGAAGCACTATTATAGTGTATGCATGCACTTTACTGCTTATTAGCTATATGTTTTAATACTTGTTATTGATAACACAAGTATACAATATAGAGGAATTAGATTCATTTTTATTTTCATTGTAAGGAGCAGTGCACCATTTTTTGTATGTGCATATATTTAGTTTTATTGGTGATTGAGTACACTGATTGGGTGGTTGCAGTAGTTCCACATCACATATTTAACATTGAATTCACCTATAGCAGCACATATGTCCAACAAAACAGGTTTTCTGCACTTATTAAAAAGATTAATCAAAACTTTTTCAATATTTAACAGACCAAAAGGGTGCAAATAAGAGATTATTAGAGTTTACATACTCTTTAATAGTCACCCGTATTATGAGAACCTACTGTAAACGGAGGGACAAAAAAAGAAAAAAGGCTAGAAGGCCTCTTGAAAAAAAATATGCAATAAACCATAACTACCTTCTATGGCTTGTAAACCTGCTCTACAGAACATTGCAATTAATGTGTAGGTGTTAATATCTCATAGAAACCAACTAAGAGACCATTTGCTATGGGTTACAGAAACGTGCATAGTGATAGGTCTCATTTTTTGGCCCCTATTTGCTCTCAGCAGCTCTCTCACTATGAGATGGGAATCCAAGTGTATCTCTTGAAACTCTTAAAGCTAAAGCTTAACATTTATACAGTAAAAATGCAAGTCCCCAGTGCCATCTGTTAAGGAAAAGGTAGGGCTGTTTAAAAACAAATTAATCCTCACCAGTATTAGCCAAGACTTCAGGCTGTGTGGCACCTTGCACGGTCAAACTGTGAAAGATTTTCCACAAGGAACAGGGATATCCTCTCAGCTGGGATCTGCTGCCTTGACAGCCCACCCATTGGATGTGGTTTGTGAGGAATATTCCAGAAATCTGTAAAATCACATCATTTTAATGTTGACGTGCACGTTCCGGTTTTTTTAAATTACATTTTATCACTACAGACAAGACACAGAATGTATTTTGTTCCACAAAACTCAGTGGCTATCCCACGGCATCCAGATTTCCAACCTTCTTTAGGCTTTGGGAAGCCATATTAGTGAACTTGTCACAATAACAACTGAGTTCTACCAATGATACTTTTAAAATTTTCACTAAAACCTGCTTGGATTGAGAAGAAGGGAATGCAACAAAAGCTTGTCCTGACAATTATAGTTTTAGTGCAAATATCAGTATCATAAAAACAGTACTATTTTTTTTTTTTTATTAACAGCATTAATGGCCTTAATAGCATTAATGGCCTCAGGGGCAGGAAGAGCGCCCCGTCACTGGCCTCAGGGGCAGGAAGAGCGCCCCGTCACTGGCCTCAGGGGCAGGAAGAGCGCCCCGTCACTGGCCTCAGGGGCAGGAAGAGCGCCCGTCACTGGCCTCAGGGGCAGGAAGAGCGCCCCGTCACTGGCCTCAGGGGCAGGAAGAGCGCCCAGTCACTGGCCTTAGGGGCAGGAAGAGCGCCCCGTCACTGGCCTCAGGGGCAGGAAGAGCGCCCCGTCACTGGCGTCACATAGCTATTCAAAGGAGGCGAGCCAATTACTGGAATTGGGAGACAAGGATTCTCAGCAGTTTCGAATATATATAACAACGCTAGTCAGTTGGATTTTGCTCAGAAAACAGAAATCGTAACTTGCAGAAAGCTATATCTGCTTTCAGACAGAAATAATGTTTAAAAAGCGTAAAATACACATTCAAAATGGAAAACTACTGCATCGACAAAACTAAATTCACTATGGGGTACACAACACTAGCTGAGACCATCTGATCCAGTGTGCTGGTCTTCGGTATAGTGTTATGATTAGCTCAATCTCCATCTGGTCGATCTCCTTCTCAGGAGTAAGCTTGCCCCTCTACCACTTAGGCTTCATTATCACGTAAGGCTAGGGGACAATAAAACCAGGTGGTTAATCCATGGTTTTACTGCCTCTCAACCGCTTGCATGAACTTAGGTATGCAATCGCTCAAAGCTGTACACATCATGGCACTATGCTTGGCATCTGCACACAAAATTAAACAACATGGCGCATTTGGCGGGCACTACTGCTACCGAACAAGACCAGTCTATGGGGAAAAGCCACAACTGCTCTGCAACCGTGTGCAACACACTCAATTGCAGCATGGTAGTGCAACATTAAAGTGGTTTTCTATGCATGAAGGTAAAAATTCTTCTGTGTGTAGCAGTTCCCCCAGCTCCCTCAGTACTTACTTGAGCCTCATCATGATCCAGCGATGTGAATGACAGCCTCGGCTGTCCTGGGTCTCTGCCTGCTAATTGGCTGAGGCAGCAAGCGAGAGCCATTGGCTCCCGCTGCTGTCAATCACAGCCAGTCAGCCAATGAGGAGAGAGGGGGCGGGGCCAAACAGCAGCTTCATGTGTGAATAGACACACGGAGCAGCGGGTTCCCCCATAGCAAGTTGCTTGCTGTGGGGGCACCCAACAGACAGGAGCAGCCAGGAGAGCCTGCAGGAGACGTGAGAAGGAGGAGAATCCAGGCTGCTCTTTGCAAACAGTAGGTAAGTATAGACATGTTTGTTATTTTATAAAAAAAAAAAATCAATCTTTAGAATCGCTTTAACAGGTTGAACTAGGAATGAGGAGACATAATGGTAGGGGATCATAAGGTCGTCTGTTACGGGAGAATTGGTACCGTTCAACAAAATGTGTACGAATTGTTTTTCCAACTTCAGTTCAGTACACAATTGGTACTGTTGTGCAAAACTCTAATGAAGGGGGACCCTTTGAACCCCTGAACCACGCTGGCCTTTTATGATATGAGGAGTTTGAATAAAATAAAACCTGGACTTTACACATTCTTCTTCGACACTTAACCCCTTAGACACCCTATCCCCACTTGAGCAAGGAGTTAACTCTCTACATTGTTTAGGACCTGACTGAGAGAACAGCCACAAGGATTCCTTCATACTCACCCGCATTTTGTTGTTGACTAAATCCAAGATGGCATCATAAGGAATCTTGTCCAGAGGCATACTGACCAGCCACTCCTGGAGTGTTTCCAGCAACTTCATCACATGGAGGCGCCCTGGGAACAGCTGAAAGGCATTTTTTTAAGTACACAAGTAAACTCCACTTTTTTTAATATCATATCTAAGTACAATTTGTGTGTGCCTAATAAATCATCAAGGGAATATGGTTTATAGTTTCAACTATCTTTAAACAATTTTGTTCCAATGAATTGCTATTTTCTTGAACGCTGCTGTCTAAAAAAACTAGAGAAGGCACTTTATTTAGTTTTTTAGAGTAAAAGGACTGTGCATAGTATGGCAATCTAGATTTGCATGAAACATATACCAGTATAATTGCAACAAAAGGCTGCAAAGAACTGATGTCTCACTGCACGTGGAAGAAGAAGCACCTCCTTACAAGTCCTCCATGGTGAAAAAACAAGTATACTGTCCACAACATGCAAATAAAAAGATGACCACCGCCCAAGTCTATAAGGACACAAACAGGCATCACATAGCCAATGAAGGGAAGAGAACAATGTTCTTGGACAACTTGCCAGCCAGCTTGCCAACAACCGAATTAACCTGTCTAACAGTATGCGTTTATAACAGGGGTTTAGTTAGAGGCACATGTATTTAATGGATAGATCAAAGGCAGGTGGACCTGAGAAGGCCCACTTCTCTTAAAGGCAAAGGAGTGCACAGGACCCTAGCATATAGCACAATGGCAGTCAGGGCATCCTAGTTCACCCACGTACCTAAACTCCAACATGCGAATAAAAAGATGGCCACATGTGGCTCTACTATGGGGGCTCTCAGAAATTGTAGAGTTAGGACCACAGATTATCAGGGTGCCGTGACGTGGCTCTGTGGCTTACATATGTATGTAACTAAACCCCTGTTACAAACGCATACTGTTAGACAGGTTAATTCGGTTGTTGACAAGCTGATTGGCAAGTTGTCCAAGAACATTGTTCTCTCCCCTTCATTCGCTACTGTCCACAACAACCAGAACTCACCCTATAAAAGTGGCAACTAAACTCTCATTAGCTGCTGAGTGAAACCAAAACCCCCTTTTTAATCCTGCTGTACAGATGTTACTTCAGCTAACAAAAAGAGCTCATAATTTTTGGAAATCCTACAAAAACACATACTAGGTAGATATACACAGCTTGGCACACACGGGCTGAATGTCGGCCAGTTCAGCAGGAACCAAACGACTTTCAGTCAGTGTTTAGTCGTCTATCTGATGGAAGCCAGTCTAATAACCGGCTTTTGTCGAATGGACATGCTGGAAGACTAGCATCCGATCAGTACTTGCAGCAAATGGCTGCGAGCACTGATCTGTGACTTCTGGCGGGGGAAGGGGGGTGGGCTTGGATAAGGGGAGCCTCCCTGCTATCAGAATTCAATAGAACAGTAGGATAGATCACCTTGAAAACATCGCTTGTATTGGTACAGAGATCTGTCAGTTCTATCAGTAGTCACAGGCTCTAAGGTGCAGTGAATAGTAGCGAACATTAGGATAACTGCAAAAGACGTTGCATCTCTACCATGCAACGTGATAAATTAAATGAGGCACTGAGACTTATCTACTAAAAGTATTAGAGTGTACTGCTTATCACAAATAATATGACAGGCAGATTTGTACTACAGTTGCTCTAAGAAATGATGGTGGGCAGAAATACTGAACTTGCTGCTCTGCTGGGTAACAAACATCACAAAAGACTTCACCCTATTGAATTCACAGACCATACAAGGCCTTTCTATCTATCCGTAACATATGAAAACATAAAAATAAAAATTTTTTTGTGGCAAAACAACTTGATTTCCTTTTCAGCTGGCTCTACTACAGTAACAGACACATTTCAGAACAGATATCAAAACAATAATACTGAATTGCGAATTTGGTGAAATGTGTTAAAAGTATTATTCATAGGGACTGTGGCAGCTTACTTTTCTTTTAAAATGTGGCCACATATTTATTAGATCATCTGCAATATGGTCAGTGCTCAAGAGAAGCAAAACATTCTAGCCAAGAAAGTGGAACAGGCATTGTTTTAAGCCACTATTATTTTCTAGCTTGGTAAGTAAACCAGTTTTAAAAACAGCCCTCTAAAAGGGGGAATAAAATGATTAGATATTCTAAGATGTTGGGAAGTAGCCACAATTGTATCTTATGAGCTTGCTACTGTCATAACACACCAGTTGAAAGTCCTACCTTATACAAGATGGTTATAAAGTCTTTAAATGTTTTCAGCTTCTCTCCCTCAAGTGTCTGGTGGGTGGCTAGTTCAACTCGCAATAGGTAATGCAACCCTGATTCCAGGTCAGCTGTGTACATCTTGGACCTAAATGAGGAAATCAAGAGTTAGTCAGGATACTTAGCTTACTCTGAAGAAAGAAATAAGATTTAAAAAGGACAGTTTTCTGTTCTGAAATCCTTGGAGTCCCGCTGTCACAATACAATGACACAGCTGGGAGGATTCCCACATTCACCTCAAATGTGTGGACGGGGGAATCGGTTCAGTTATTTTCTGCTGAACGTAGAAAAACTGAGCCTTGTATGGGCAGCTTAAAAAAGGTACATACTTGTCATACTCTTTCCAGGCAACATCCTGTTTATCATCCTCCTGGACCACCCTCGGTGGATAGTCAGAGTGTGCCCCTACTTTCTTCCTTACAGAAGGCAGAGCTTTTAGATGAGAGGAGAAGACAGATCGCAGAGGTTTCGCACTGAAAGAGGTTTAAAAAAACGACTATGAAAATTGTTATATTTTCAGAGAAAATCCACATTAACATACAGAAACAAAAAAAAAAAAAAAAAATTCAATATACATTTGTTGGTACACGTACAGCTCATTGCTTCACTCCTTTAGAAAAGTGATTCAATTCAAATCAATTGTCTCAAGTATACTTGCATGCCTTTGGCATTTCACAGAGTGAAGCAAAGAAAGTGTGAAAAGAGATAATTGCTTATTCTACAAAGATATTCTAGACAGATTTGTTGGTACCCCTAGAAAAGACTCTAAATAACTGGATCATATTGATTATTCAAACGATTTTCTGTAATAAGTATTACAAACATTTTCATGTTATTTGATGGACAAAAGTAGTAAGTCTGCTGTTTGGCATCATTATTTTCACTTCACAGAATATGGATTAGAGAATGCAGATAAGCATAGACCAGCATAGGCCAGATAAAGGATTGAAGACCATCTCCAAGCAACTTGATGTTCTTGTGAGTGAAGATGCAGATATTAAGGCGCAAGAGAGTGTGGCCATCTTCCATGAACATAGTTTCAAAAGTAAACGTGACCCCAGGAAAAACAGGATAGTTTAAGTGGCAAACAAAAAGTCAAGGAAAATATAAACAGATACAAGTTAAACTACAAGGTCAAAGTAAGTACATCAGTGTCTGATTGCACCATCCGTCACTTTATCCACATCAGGCTGAAAGAAGGAAGACCCAGGGGGGACTCAACTTTTGAAAAAAAAAACAAAAAAAAAAGCCAGACCAGGGTTTTCCAAGATGCATATGGAGAAGCCACAATGCTTCTAGGAGAATGTTCTTTGGGCAGGTGAGGCAAAACTGGAGCTTCTTGCAATGTCACATCAGTACATAAAATCTCAAGACTATCAAATACACTGCCCAACGTCAAAAAGTGGTCACATTTGCAGCTGAAGGACCCATGACATCAAAACACAATGGTAAAAGCACCCAAGAATGACTAAGGAGAAAAATATTGGACTATTCTGACATGCAGTCTGGAGAAGATACCCTTCAAACTCGGGTCAATTTGAGCAGTTTTCTGAAGAAAAGTAGACTAAACTATGTGTTGGCAGGTGCAGAAGTCTCATTGACAGCTACAGAAATCTCTATTTTTTTTTTTTGCTCTAAAGGTTGTGCAACAAATATTAGGTTAAAGTGATACTAAACCCACTGCCACAATTTACAATTTTTGCTTTATATCATGTTTAAATAGTATTACAGTCAGGTCCATAAATATTGGGGCATCAACACAATTCTAACATTTTTGGCTCTATACACCACCACAATGGATATGAAATTAAACGAACAAGATGTGCTTTAACTGCAGACTGTCAGTTTAATTTGAGGGTATTTACATCCAAATCAGGTGAACGGTGTAGGATTTACAACAGTTTGCATATGTGCCTCCCACTTGTTAAGGGACAAAAAGTAATGGGACAGTTGGCTTCTCAGCTGTTCCATGGCCAGGTGTGTGTTATTCCCTCATTATCCCAATTACAATGAGCAGATAAAAGGTCCAGAGTTCATTTCAAGTGTGCTATTTGCATTTGGAATCTGTTGCTGTCAACTCTCAAGATGAGATCCAAAGAGCTGTCACTATCAGTGAAGCAAGCCATCATTAGGCTGGAAAAACAAAACAAACCCATCAGAGAGATAGCAAAAACATTAGGCATGGCCAAAACAACTGTTTGGAACATTCTTAAAAAGAAGGAACGCACCGATGAGCTCAGCAACACCAAAAGACCCGGAAGACCACGGAAAACAACTGTAATGGATGACCGAAGAATTCTTTCCCTGGTGAAGAAAACACCCTTCACAACAGTTGGCCAGATCAAGAACACTCTCCAGGAGGAAGGTGTATGTGTGTCAAAGTCAACAATCAAGAGAAGACTTCACCAGAGTGAATACAGAGGGTTCACCACAAGATGTAAACCATTGGTGAGCCTCAAAAACAGGAAGGCCATATTAGAGTTTGCCAAACGACATCTAAAAAAGCCTTCACAGTTCTGGAACAACATCCTATGGACAGATGAGACCAAGATCAACTTGTACCAGAGTGATGGGAAGAGAAGAGTATGGAGAAGGAAAGGAACTGCTCATGATCCTAAGCACACCACCTCATCAGTGAAGCATGGTGGTGGTAGTGTCGTGGTAGTGTCATGGCGTGGGCATGTATGGCTGCCAATGGAACTGGTTCTCTTGTATTTATTAATGATGTGACTGCTGACAAAAGCAGCAGGATGAATTCTGAAGTGTTTCGGGCAATATTATCTGCTCATATTCAGCCAAATGCTTCAGAACTCATTGGACGCCGCTTCACAGTGCAGATGGACAATGACCCAAAGCATACTGCAAAAGCAACCAAAGAGTTTTTTAAGAGAAAGAAGTGGAATGTTATGCAATGGCCAAGTCAATCACCTGACCTGAATCCGATTGAGCATGCATTTCACTTGCTGAAGACAAAACTGAAGGGAAAAGTCCCCAAAAACAAGCAGGAACTGAAGACAGTTGCAGTAGAGGCCTGGCAGAGCATCACCAGGGATGAAACCCAGCATCTGGTGATGTCTATGCGTCCAGACTTCAGGCTGTAATTGACAGCAAAGGATTTGCAACCAAGTATTAAAAAGTGAAAGTTTGATTTATGATTAATATTCTGTCCCATTACTTTTGGTCCCTTAACAAGTGGGAGGCACATATGCAAACTGTTGTAATTCCTACACCGTTCACCTGATTTGGATGTAAAGCTGACAGTCTGCAGTTAAAGCACATCTTGTTCGTTTCATTTCAAATCCATTGTGGTGGTGTATAGAGCCAAAAATGTTAGAATTGTGTCAATGTCCCAATATTTATGGACCTGACTGTATATCTAGATGCATTGTACACTTTAGATATGCGACTCTTGGTTTTGGGTTTAGTAATACTTTTAGAGCCCCATCATGTTAGTCCATGAACGTGCATAGCATGACAATCATGAGTTTAAATCGGGTGGTGAGGAGGTAATATATAGCCTCCTGTCAAACACATTTGGATAGCTTGTTGCACTTGTCAATGAGCTCTCATTTGCATTTGGAAGAGGCAGCCTTAGGGCTTGTTCACAGGTAAAGTTGGGGGGTGGAAAAAACCTGTAGTTGAGTCCTGGTTTTCCAATCCCTACCCCCTTCAGCTGCTGAGGCAGCAGCCAAAAGTGTACACATGCTTCAGTAGGAATTAAGCCACCTGCTGCTTTTGGTGGGTGAAACTGCTTGCCAATTGTGCCCCATTCAAGTAAATGGGACCCATCTGCAAGCGCCCTGCAACTGCATGCTTCTGTGGGGTCCAAGGGGTTAAAGCAGGTGATGAAAAACCAACACAACATGGCCAAGTGCAGAAAACCCACAGGAAAGCCGCAGGTACACTGTACTGCACCCACAGTGTGGGTAAACCGCAGTGCATCAGTGTGAAAGCAGTATTATATTATTAATGACCAGTGTACTGCTTCACACTGACCTGAAGATCTCTTCTTTCCTGCTGCTGGCACCACTCTGGACAGCGCAAGCCTGGATAACAGGTGCAGTGCAGTTGGTATCACTCTGCGGGGGACCTGAGAAGAGGAGGCCTTTATTAGCACTTTAAAGGATACAGGAATTCAAATACAGTCAGCAAAAGCAGTCCAGAAAAAAAAAAAAAAAAAAAAAAAAAAAAAAAAAAAAAAAAACTACTACAGGCCCCACTGTGAAAGACTGGGAACCACCTGCAGCCCAGCTGCTGTTTGAAGGACCATCACCTGAATGGCAGAAGAATCCAAAAATAAAGTCTAGCACAAAAAAAATTGGTTATAGACTTTTTTCAACATAGCTAGGGAAAAAGACAACCATCATCCTTGGAAACTAGCAAATGCAATGGTGAGAAAATATATGTGAACCCCTTGGTGTTAACTGGTTTTCTGCAGTAATTTGCCATAAAATGTGATCTGATCCTCAAGTCACAACAATAGACACAAAGGGTGCTCAAGTTTAGAACACAGAAACAATTCTAAATTTCCCCTTTTTCTATTGAACATACCCATTAGACATTCACACTGTTCGAGGAAAAAGGAAGTCAACCCATAGACTAATTACTTTAATTAACATTAATAAGAGTCAGTGTTTTGCACACCTAGAGTCAAATTCATGAAGAGTTTGGAGGTGTGGTTTAGAGCTACTTAGATAAAAGACACTCAGACACGCAGTCCCCCCTAACACTTACCTGAGCCCAATCCCGATCCAGCGATGTATGTACCATAGACACAAAAATGAGGCTCGGGAGTGAGCACACACAAGTGCACCCAGAGCAAGCAGCTTGCTCTGGGAGCACTCAGCAGGAGAAGGGGACAGAAGCACCGGTGGGGGACCCAAGAAGAGGAGGATAGGGGCTTCTCTATACTAAACCATCGCACAGAGCAGGTAAGCATGAAATGTTTGTTATTTTAAAAGAAAAAAAAAAAAAAAATTTTATAACCACTTTAATCTGCACAAGACTGGAAAGCTATCTATTTAGGCATTTATCAGTCAACAGCGAGACAAACTGTCTATAAATGGACCGTGGCAACTCTTCTTAAACATGGGTGCCCAGCCAAGATGACTCCCAAGGAACGATGACAGAATCCTCAATGAGGTAAAGAAGAACCCATGAGTAACAGCTAAAGGCTTGAGGACATCACTGGAACCAGCAACGTCCCTGTATATGAGTGGGTGTCCATGGCAGAACAACATGGAGGAACCTATTGTTCTCCAAAAAAAAAATATTGCCGCATGCCTGAAGTTTGTCAAACAGCACCTTGGCAAACCGCAATGCTCCGGCGAAAATGTTTTGTGGACTGATAAAACAAAAATTGAATTGTTCTGGAAGAAAACTCAACACTATGTATGGTACAAAAAGGGTACAGCTTACCAACATCAGAATATCATGAAGTGAAGTATGGTGAATGGACCATCATGATTTGGACTTGCTTCGCTGCCTCAGGGCCTGGACCACTTGCAATCATCGAGGGGAAAAAGAATTCCCAAGTTTACCAAAACATGCCACAGGATGTCAGGATGGCTGGCCAGCTGAAGCTTAGCAGACGTTGGGTGAAGCAACAGGACAATGACCCTGAGCATTGGAGTAAACCCACCACAGACTGGCTTCAGAACAAGAAAATGCATCTTTTGCAGGGGCCAGTCAGAGCCCCAAACCTTAACCACTTGCCCTCCTGGGGATTTACCCCCCTTCCTGACCAGGCCATTTTTTGCATTACGGCGCTGCGTTACTTTAACTGACAATTGCTTGATCATGCAACGCTGCACCCAAATGAAATTTAAGCCCTTTTCCCCCCCACAAATTGAGCTTTCTTTTGGTGGCATTTTATCGTCTGTGTGGTTTTTATTTTTTGCGCTATAAAAAAAAAAACCTGACAATTTTGAGAAAAAAAAAACACTTTTTGACTATTTGCTATTAAACATGTCCAGTAAAAAAAAAAAAAAAAAAAAAAAAAATCATATTTCATCATAATTTTAGTCCAAAATGTATTCTGCGACATGTCTTTGCTAAAGAAAAAAAAAATCCCAAAACGTGTAAATTAATTGGTTTATGTGAAAGTTCTAGCGTTTGCAAATGACAATATATATACTGGGATTTTTTAAAATTTTTTATTTTTACTAATAATGGCGTTGATCAGCAACTTACAGCAGGACTAAGGGACTGCGGCGGACATTCTGACACTGGGGGGAACTGACCTGGTGTCACTGACATCCCCAGTGACACCAGTACAGTGATCAGTGCTTTAAAAAAAAATGCACTGACACTGTATTAATGGCACTGGGCAGGAAGGGGTTAACATGAGGGCCAATCAAAGGGTTAACAGTGTGTAGGGAGTGTTTTACTAGGGGGAGGTGCGTGTGTGTTTCACTGTAATCACAGCCAGCGATCGTGCCCATCAGTGATCGTCGGAAATCACTGGGCGCTTGCGAGTAATTACCGGCTTGGACCCGGTGATTGACAGCTGCGACCGTGAATGGCGGTGCAGGTGGGTCGCGCACGCGCCCTGCCCGGAAATGCAAAATCACGTCTATATACACGTGATTTTGCGCACCCCTGCCGCCCTGTAGCAGTATTTCTGCTATAGGGCTGTGGGGATGTGGTTAAAGTGGTTTTAAAGGCTGAAGGTGTGCAGCTCCCCCAGGCAGGAGGTAGGTGTCAGAAGCACCAGCAGGGGACCCGAGAAGAGGAGGATTGGGACTGCTCTGTACAAAAACATTGCACAGAGCAGGTAAGTATAACATATTTTTTTTTTTAATCTGCCTTTAATATCACTATCAGCACACTGCGATTGTCTATTGTGACTTAGATGAGGATTGCGTTTTATGGCAACTACTGCAAAAAAAAACAGTTCATTCCATGGGTTCACATACCTTTTCTTGCCACTGTACCTGGTGCATGCTGGATACCGTAAGGGTTATACTGGGAGTTGGCTTACATTTTTTCTGTTTGCCAGTGTCCAGTCCTCCTGAAAGGAACAGTATAACCTGAGTATTTAGATTCCTGTGTCCGTTAAAGAACAAGTGAAATATTCTGTTGCACTCTTTAAAAAAAAATTCCCATTCTTGAAAATGCATGAAACAAAAATTAAGAAAAGTGGGACAACAGAGACATTTTGGAGGGGACACGATCAGCAGTTACTATGTTACGGGCGAGTAACATTAAACCGAGTACTGTGAAAACACAGCATCCTCCATATAGAGGAAAGGAAAGCGCCTTGTATCTCTTACAGACACTTAGTTACTTACATGTTAATTAATCCGTGAGTACCGTTGGGGTAGATCAGGTAACATGATGGAACAGAGACAATACCAAGCGTCTCTAACAGAGCCTTATCTGAACTTAACGCTCTGTGCACCAAAATGTTTTCATACTGCATCAAGTCCATTATAACCTGGAAGAGGGAAGAGATCATTGTCAGCACAGAAAACACAACTTATCTGGTCTTGTCTTGTTGGCAAGTCTGAATAAAAAGACTGCAAGTTTTTTTTATTAAAAAACTGACAATTTCCTGAGTTTGTGATCTAGAGGAGCTTACACTCCAGTTTCCCCGCCGCAGTAAAACACAATTATTAGACATACAAGGGTTAGACAAAAAATTGAAAAGTAGTGATGCACCAATATATCAGCCACCAAAAATTATCAGCCGAAAAAAAGGTAAACTATCAGCATTTTTGCTGATAGAGAAAAAACCAAAAGGTGCCGATGATAATTTTAATGCTAAATCGCATCCTATTGACTTCAATGCAATTTCCCCCTTACTGACTTCCATGCACAGGGGTGTGGAGAAAAAAAAAAAAAGTAAACCCTGCTGCTTTCCTGCAGCAGGGCTAAATGTAAAAAAAACAAAGATTAGATTTTAGGCTAGGCTCACACTGTGCAGGTGGTGCCACTGTGGGACCCGCACAGTGAAATGCAGGATCCGCAAATGGGTGCCATTAATCCTAATGTCATGCAGCACACACTGAAAATCGCACACGCACTGGTAACCTCGATTCTCATGCGGGCTGTGATTTTCAAAGTAGTACAGGGGCTTCTATTTTGCTTTTCATGAGGGAAGGCAGCCCATTCAAACCTCGGCCGCGTGGATATGAACCTAGCCTTAAAGGGCCCTGCACTTGCTGCCAGGGTAGCACTGCAAAGTTGCCAACATTTTAAAAGGGACACTGCCGCTGGGCTTAATTTTGCTTAACGCATTCAATGCTGTCACGTGGCATCAAGGAACCTTTCTTTGTGAGGACGGTTATCTGGATGGAAGATAGTTTTTCTCTAGTTAAAAAAGATTAAAAGAGGCCCAGAATATATCAGAAGGAAAGGGTCTTCTGTGCTACTAGACAGGGCTGGCATTTGCAGGGACTAAATCTGCCAGATTTGGGACTGTCATGGCCAATCAGCAATGTCTACCCCTATATGACATAATCTGGAACATACAGGAAGGAATGACAGGTAAGACAGGGTACCCATGCCAAGTTTGGCTGATGAGTAGAATGTACATCTGGGCACCACAGGCATAGAGGGGAGGGGAAGCTGAGCACTGGCCCTCCCACCTCTTGCCATTACATTGAAGACCCCTCCTTCTTCTAATTCCTTAACGAAAAAGATCATGCTCCCTCCCCACTTCCAAGTTCCGTAGCTGGGGCTATGCTGCTGATCTGTCCTCCTCCTGCCTTCCATAAGCCGGTTCACTTTCCCCTCTACGTGCTCGTTACTCTGTCCGCCTCGCCTCCCCTCCCTGTGGGCACGGGCATGAGGCACCGTCCCCCCCCCCCCACGATGTCAGCGAGAAATTGCAGGAGCGTGCAGTAGGCTGTACAGCTGTCTGTATTCTGTGCTGGGACTGAACGGACTGAGACAGGTTGACTATGACCTCCAACTGCCCAATTAAAAAGTAAAGCCTGTTGCTTGCCCGCAGCACGGCCAAATGCCCGGAACTGCATGTCCCAGGCATTGGGCAATAGAATTTGCACATCCCTGATGCAAAAATGACCCCTATTGACTTCAATGCAAAAATGATTACATTTTTTTCATTTTATATACATTTCAATTTATTTTATGTCCAATTTTTGTGTGTTTAATTTCAATAAAAGTAATTTTTACGTTACTTGATTGTATTTTTTTTAATTCATACTCATTTAGATTCATGATATTAATTAAAAAGTCAAATATAATACAACTATATATAAAAAATATACTTTTAAAAAAAAAACTGTCCATTTTGTTTTTCGACATCCTGAATGTTAGGTTTCTGTTTCGGTCCAGAATTTTAATTTTGGTGCACTACAATTGGAAAGACTACATGATTTGCAGGTGTAAAAGTGACTACATAAATTTGTGTTGAAAGCGAAAGTGATGTAACATTCTTTGGCTTCCGCTGTGTGATGAGACACCTAACAGGTGGGAAGCCTCACTTTGGTCATTCACTGTGTGTGCTGCTAGTAATATGGAATCATGTTAGAGCTTATTGAGATTCAAAAAAGGCAAATTGTTGCTGCCCTCTTAGCTGATGCCTCTGTGACTGAAGTTGCCAATTTATTTGCAGTGTCGTGAGGTACAATATCAAAGGTTATGACGGCATATACAGTTTCTGGGAAAACTTCATCTGATAAGCATAAGAGCGGTTGATATGGTCAATTGACCGAAAGAGACAAAAAGGACATTGTGCAGGATTGCGATTTTAGGGTAAAAAGATTAAATACTGCCAATATCTTCTTAAAGTGAAATTTAATTTTCTCAATCAACATTGACTATTATGAATACTCATGCTGCTAGCATTAGTAAATAGATGAGATCATAATTACTTGTTTTAAACTGTTTTTTAATACAATTCTTTAAACACTTTCTGGTTAAGATGTCTAGACAAATGAAGTCATACATCCCATCAGTCTTCAGGAGGGGAGGAGAGGTCTTCTCACCTAAGCACACTCTTCAGCCTGTATGCCTAAGCAAGGGGCAGATAGATTCCAGGAAGTAAATGCTACAAAAATCATCTGACCTTACTCAAGATGGCCAGGGCCAGAAATGCTAGGGGGTGTTTTCAAAGTTATTTCTGAGCAAAATAAAGCATGGAGACATGGATGGATGGGTGAGTTTGCTTTGCATATTAAAAACTAATGAAATAGTGCTTTTGGTTTGTGGTGCTTAAATACAAAGTAGTTCAGCTTTAAACAGTGGACATAATTATGCAGGGTTCAAAAGCCAGCCAGTACAATCTAGGATCCAGTAAATGTGCTTCTTTTGACAACAGAAAAGGCTACAAATAAAGGTCAACTATAAATATTTTGGCTCATTGACATCCTGGCTCTGGAGATTAGTTCGGTGCTATATACAAAATTAAATAATTCATCTAAAATACATAGATATAAAAAAGAAAAAAAAACACACCTCCCGCCCAATATAGGAGTTCTCACTCTCGAAAATGATAACGGTGTAATGGGGTTCCTTTTGACCAAGTAGAGAGTTGATGTCACTTGAACTGTTAAACATAAAAAGAGAAGGATGAAGCTGAGCCATTTTGAGGCAGAAGAGCAATTTATACACAGAAAACAGCATTGATGACAGCCCAGTTCTTACTTCCAATTCTATAACTGCCAGTTGTGGTTTAACTCTAATAGGTTACTACAGGACAAGAAATGCTTTTTATTGCAGATACTTTAATGAATGTAACTCTGCGAGGTCTAGTGTACGATCAATAAAGCTCAATTGCAGTCTCTACAAAAACAATATAGTTAAATGGAGCCTGCTGCCAAATACTAATTTGATATGAAGGGGGCATATCAGACCACAGCACTGAAACCACAACACTAACACAAAATGGTGAGGCATTCCTGAGCAGCCTGTTGCATGTGCCTTGCATTTTGGGCTGGCATTGGGGGGCAATTTACAAAAATGACCAAAATAAGACAAATAAAAACTCGTATTTAGCAGCATACTGAATCTAACTAAAATGTCCCAAACAAATTCACTGGCGAATAATCACAGGAGAAAACCAATCCACTCAACAAATTTTGGCAACAAATTAGGTAATCTTGTGTCAATGTGGTGGACTCAAATCATCTTTCAACCACTACCATTTCCAAGCTTTTACCAAAAGACTAAAATTAGCCTTTTCATCCAGACGAGGCTATAATGTACTAGTCTACGCCATTGCCTAATACTACCAGGTTCTTTTCATCTGGTGTTCTATGAGCACCAAATGCTGAGCCATGTAATTGCACAAGCTAATAGGTCATGACTCTACTTATTCTAAAATTTTGGGTGGTTTCTCATGGCAAAAGGGTGAGTTGTATACAACAGAATGAAGACTAAAAAAGGCTGCAGTCCCATAGAGAAGCAGATTTAAACCTGGAAAGCGGTTTTAAATAATGAAAATTGTCTTGGGACCTAAACATCATCTGAAGCATTAGCTTCACTTGAATATGGACTGCTTGGTGCTCTTACGTCTCCAGTACCTTTACCAGTGACAGAACCAATGACATACACAGTTGTAGAGAAAACCAATACTAGGTGATAGAGTACTGTATTTCAGTGGTCTTACCTAAACGGCTCCAGGGAAGGGAAAGCAGGAGGCTTGTGTTCCATAGGGGAAGCCTGCAGGTAGTCTATAATTCCATGGCGAACCGTCTGAACTTTTCTATCAGAGTCTGCAAAATAAGAAATGCTATTCTCACAGCACTGAAACACAAGGCAGAAATTCAAAACCAAGCATTGAATGCTATGACTTATTGTTCACTGCTTGTCGTTTATGTGATTATCAACACGCCTGCAACATTCAGTACAAGAAAATAAAAGTCACATGCAAAGCTAATTTAAGGTATGCATGAAAGTTCAATTTACATGTTGTCCTAAATCTTTCAGAAACCGTGGTGCCTGTTGAGATTCCCCCACCTGAACGCCCAGCTTCCATTGGCATTACTAGTTCAGCTGATGGTGTTACCCTCCCTCCAGAGATTTACCATAACTATTCCAGAAATAATTTGTGAATCCAGATGTGAGAGAGTAACACCTTCATTGTAGAAAAGCAAGAAAAATATGGGGGATACTATTGTGGACATCCTGAAAATACTAGAAGAGGACTGTCCTGGGTTTCAATGCTTTCTGACTTAGAACAAATATGCAGCCAAAGAAGTCAGATCACTATACTTGTTCCAGGTCTGTGAGAGTAACAACAAAGGTCAGGTAAAAAAAAACAAAAACATTTTGTTGCCACTGGCAAAAGTTCTTTCAGTTATAAAGCTTCACATATATTATACTTTTCTTGGATGTATTATTATTTGTGCTCTTCTGAAAATAAATTCAATAATTACCTTTGTAGTTTTCGCCTTGTGTAAACTCCTTTGTAAATGCACTAAAAAACTAAAACAGATTAAATAATTCTTAGAATGTTAAACATATACTGCATATAACATTTTAGAGATTCAGCAATGGTTATAGTTCACCAATTTATATTTCACTAATGATCTCTAGCCTCCTATAAACTCATTACCGAATATAGAAACAAATCACTGTAAAAATGAGCAAATACCTTATGTGTACAATGTATGCAAAATGCACTAATGTACCGAGACGTATGGGGGTCATTTACTAAAGCTGGGGAGAGAAAAATATGGTGCAACTTTTATTGTCAAAGCTTAATTGGACAAGCTGAAAGCGGTTCAAAAGGTTGAAGGTTTTTTTTTTTTCCTTCATGCATTCTGTGATCAGCTCCCCTCTCTGCCCCCCCCCCCCCCATGCTTCCCTGAGCCCCTTCTCGATCCAGCGATGTGCACGGGAGCCTTGGCTGTCCCAGGTCTCTCTCTCTCCTCATTGGCTGGGACACACCAGTGGGACTATTGGCTCCCACCCATTGCTGTCAATCACAGCCAGTAAGCCAAAAGGAGAAAGCAGAGCAGGACCAAGCCCCGGCTTTATTTGTCTTATGAATGCACAAAGCAGGCCATGGGAGCGAGCATTGACCAATGCCCCCACAGCAAGTGGACAAATTCTGACCCTATTATCTGAATGTCGCAGCAACCAGTCTGTCCATTCTCCTCTGACCTGTACAAGGCATTTTTGTCCACAAAACTGCTGCTCACTGACTTATTTTTTCAGATGATTCTCTGTAAACCCAAGAGATGATTGTAGGGGGAAAATCCCAGTAGATTAGCAGTTTTTGAAATACTTAGACCAACCCATCTGTCACCAACAACCATGCCACGCTCAGAGTCACTAAAATCCCCTTTCTTCCCCATTCTGATGCTTGGTTTGAAATTCAGCAAGTTGTCTTCACCACATCTTCATCTAAGTACATGACATGTGATTGGCTGATTAGCAAATTGTGTTACCAAGCAATTGAACAGGTGTACCTAATAAAGTGGCCGGTGAGTTTATACAAAAGGATAGTATAGGAAACACTATGGGTAAAGCACTTGGATTTGTCTTCTAAGTCTCCTATGCAGTCTCATGTAATACAAATTGCCATGTTTAACACGCAGAAAGGTATTTCCAGCCCCAATTCCAAAAATGTCGGCAACAGGTGAATACAAAAATCTTCTTTATTGCATAAAGGAGTGAAAATATTCCATGGCAAACTTACGCTAACACGTTTCAGTCTGAAAATCAGACCTTAGTCATAGCTATAAAGAATTCTGTTTTCACCTGTTGCTGACATTTTTGGATGGAGACTGCTAGTCAGACACGGTGAGCTTATATGTTTTATACTTAATACATCTGACAGGTAATAGCAACCCACTTCTGTTTGGATTTCCAGCCTTAAGTCTTTTAATCGCCTTCTTTTTTCTGCAAGCCATTATAAATGAATTTACTGTTGGTATTTAACAGGATCTTCAAGAGAATGGGAATACATTTGGAGTTCTCCTATACTATAACTGCGAAGGTGATTCCAGTTTGCTGGCCCATTAATAAGGTCTTTAGGCATTTACAGTATACTGGTTTTGCCATCACCCCAGCACTTACCCGGAATGTTGGATAGAACTGGACACCATAGTCCTTGCAAATAGCTGTATTGTCCTCATCGGCACAGTTTAACGCACCAATCTTTATTGATGGATCCCAGTCTAGAAGGAAAGAAACCGGGAGTTACATAACAGAATACACATCTGGCAAGCTATTTTTATGACACCACAAGTCTTCGGTTACATTATGTAAAGGCTTTGCAGATATCCTGCGCATGTAACTTTAGTAGCTGTAACATTGTATCAAATAGCCACAAAGCTTAAACAAATCTTAACTGATATTCAGACTAGATGCTGAGCAGGTACAGCTAATGCCTCCATATGTCTCTGCGCTGAAACTGGACCGCAGCAGCAAACTGGCCCCAGTACTGAGTCGTCTAAATGTTTAGCAACTACAGAAGAATATCACCTATCAGCAGTCATGATCTGCACTCAAAAATACAAAGGCAAAATATAGCAAATTAAATGCAAGATGACAGAAGGTATTGGCCCCACGTTATTTGCTAATGCAGAAGAACCTCTGCAAGAGTGACTTCATGGGACCTTATCGGACCAAAAGCCAAAAGCATGAAAGCAAATTACAAACAGACATTTCAATAACTTTGTCCAGTAACTAAGCTAAGGTGATGTATTCAATCTGCTGCAGGCAAGAGAAAGCATTTTCTTAGATTTTTCTCCTCTACTCCTCACTCAGACTGTACATTGTAACTTTACAGTGTCATTAAACCCACATCATTAAAAACTGTCAGCACATGCTGTATTATATACGGTTCTGTCTTATGCAAAAACCTGGTTGAGCCTTCTGGTCACTGTCCCTCCCTCCTTGTCTGAGTCCCCGCAGCAGCCCATAAACCAGCTATTGCCACATCTACTGAGCATGCTCCAGTTTCAGTTCCCTTCCAAGTTGTTCATTTCCTCCTTTTTCGTATTTGTGCAGCCCAAGTGACTATAGAGCCCACGAAACAGCTAAAAACCCTATGGGCGTGGGATATTACATGTTGATTGTTGGAGTCATCACCTCCCTCTAATTCTAAGCCCATATAAACAATAGATATAAGCTGCAGGGGCATGAACAGGCTATGATTGCCAGAACCTTCCCCTACATAACCCACACCATGCTTTTGCACAAAAATAATAAAGATTTGAGTTCAAATACATACTTGTATGACAATTTAAAACTTATTTGGTAATTATGTATTTTCCCTCTGTATTCTGAAGGCTGTTTTTTTTAACATTAGACTGGCAGCAGAAGAGTAGAAGCTCCTCCCGTAGAGGCTTCCCTGCAGTCTGGGAAAGAGTTGGGTCACGTGACCGCTGTATATTGATTTTGATAAAAGGTACATAGATTTATTTTTTTAACTAAAATAAATATAGTGCCATCAGCCAAATACATAAAGAGAAGGGATAATGTAAATGAAACAGTGTGCTTTTAGTATCACTATAAAGCAATATCAAGGGGAAAGGCAGTAGAAGGTGTTGGTCTGTGTCAGTCATTTGTGAATACAGGCAATAACTGCACAAGCACAATGATTT